CCTCGATTCCCGGATGATTATCAAATGACTAAACAGTCCTTCCACGCCTAAGAAAGCTACTCGCAAGTGTCCAAAGTATCGGCATCTCGGTTCTCTGGATGGATGGCTACGTTACATATTTGGTCGTCCAAGCTTGTGATCATTTAATGAGTTTTTAAAGCCAGTGTCCCTTTCGGAGTAAGAAATCCAGCGGTGCATGCGGTCCAAGGGTTGCTTTGGTAATTGAACAACTCTGCATATTCACCCAATCATTTATATTTTTATTCTAGCAAATTTTGGAACCAACAACATAGATTTTTTTATATGATTTTAACATATCACTTGACTGCCCACATGGTCAGTATATAGTCAATATTTCCTGGTTTCTACTTATGTCGTTTAAGGTTTTGTACAGGAATTAAAAGAATTATTAAATAGCTATAATATGAATAAAAATAATTATATAAGATTAAAATATTCTAATTTAATACATATTACAAAAAAAAAAGAATATGAAAGACACTTAACCTCCACCTAATCTAATGCATTAAAAAATTAAGGATAAATTTAGAAAAAAAATATTAATTATACTTTGATTTCATTAAATGACAGATATTATAGAACAAAAATAATTGTGTAAAACGAGAAATATTTAGGAACGGATAGAATAAGAAATTGGCATGTTAGAGACACCAAGTTGATTTGTATTAAGAAAATTTTGATAATTATTCTTAAAAATATGTAATTTTTGATTTATTATGTACAACATTGACATTTTTTTTTTACAACACTGATATTTTCAAGTAATAAAAATATTGCTCCCTCTTATGTTGATTTTAGAGGTGACAAATGGGTGGGTTTGATTGGTTAGGGGTGGATTGGATTGGTTAGGATTTGACTTAAATTGAATTGGACTAAAATAAATTCAATTTATTTTTCACTCAAGTTATAAATGAGTTATAATGGGTTGAGTTTATAACGGATTGAGTTAAACTGATTAATTTATAGAATAATTAAAATTCTTAATAGACACATTAGTACACCAAAACATAAGCACACACATTAGTAGTATACTAAAATACAAACATACACACACACACAAATACACCAAAATAAATACAAACTAATACATTAAAAATATACACATTAATACATTAAAATAAACACTAAAACACAAAAAATACACTCACATATACTAAACACAAAAACTAAAACACATTTAATAAAAAAAAATACACACGTAATAGGTCGGGGTCAATTGTGGGCTATGGGTTGGTTGTGGGTCATGTGATGTATTAGTGTGTGCATTTTTGGTGTACTAGTGTGTGTATATTTTAGTGTATTAGTGTACATGTATATATTTTTTAGTAAAATAATGTGTGTATTTTTTGGTATATTAATATATTTATTTAATTTGATTACTTGTGCTATTTATTAAAAAGATAAATACTCAACTCAATGGGTATCCATTTATAATTTATATTAACCCGTTTAATTAAAATAAATTATATTATTCAATCTATTTAAAACTCATATTAAGTAATATAGATACGCAACTCATTTATTTATGGATGAATTAGACGGATTAATGTATAATAGGTTACCACTCTTTGATTTGATAAAATCCTGCCTCTCAGAAAAGAGTGAGGAAACATTGGGAGACACCTCTCTCTAAGCAACTCAACAAAAAATAGCCCATAGCACCTTTCGTTTCTATTTGCTTTCTATAAGAACCAAACATGATCAGGCTGGTTAAAATCAAAGTACTCAGTTTGTATGTCTCGTTGCTGAGATGGACCTCACCTTAGCCCATTCGACTTCGTCCGCTGGGCCTAATGATAATCCATACCCACATGCAAAACCGATAATTCTGAATCCTATAAAGGGGGCGGTCCAATTTCTTCATGTTCTATGCCCCATACTCTTTTTCGAGGCCAGTCATTAGCCACGGTTTATTCTGAGTGTTAACCTGCGTCAGAGATACCCGGTAGAGAGGAAAAAAAAAGTAGCCAATTGCATATGTGCTGCTCCGGCCAGTTATGAAGCACAGATAATCGATAAACTATAATCTATATCTATCTATAATATACTAATAAAACTACTTTAACATAAAAAATCTTTGATTCTCTATTTTATCCTTATAAAAAGTTATAAATATTACTCAATCCTTTCACAATTAAATATCTAAATTATCTATTATCTCCTTATGTATTTAAATCTCTCAATTACCTCTAACTTCTCTTTTAATTATCTATTCTCTCTATATAAATATCAATTTTTATGAAACTTTTTGATTGACTATATTATTTTTTTAAAAATATGCATCATTACATATTTAATAAAGTGTTCAAAAAACTTTCAAAAACTTCATCAATTTAATATTACTCATCTCATATGCAAAAATAACATTATTCGCATATATGTTTATTTTTTTTATTTAAAAAGTTTAACCCTTTTATTTCTAAGATAAAAAATAATTATATATATATAATTTTTTTAAATTAATTTATGCTACATCAATATAATTTTTTAGTTTACAATAAACTTTTTAAGTTGTATTAAGATTTTATGTGGAAAATAGTTTGTAGTTTATTCTAAAGTAAAACTTGAGTTTTTTAAAATTTTGGTATGTTTTAAAATATATATTATAAAGTATTCTATTCAATCTTATTCTAATTGATCTAACTAATTATTAAATATATTAAAGTTTCAATATAATTATGTAGTATACTGACAATTACTTTTATTTTATTCAAGGAATTATAAGTGAAATCATAATCGAATGAATTTCAAAAAATTTATTTTTTCAAACATTATTAAAAAATCACTCTCAATCACAAAATTCTAAAAATAAAATAGAACTGTAACTATTTTTTTTTATATATTTTTTCTTATAGTTAGAATAACGAATTTTGGAAATATACTAAGTTTTCATAATCCTATAATATAATATGAGTAATGAAAAATTAAGTCTGATAAATTTGAGATAATATTTAATTCACTTACACATATACTAATATATTATATCAATTTTTATGTATGAAAACTATTCACGTGCAACGCACGTGGTGCATTGCTAGTCTTAAAAAAGTATGTATCCATGTCAGACATGTGTTGGACATCGACACTTCTCGGACACTCGGACGCATGTCCGATATTCATTTATTCGTGTCTATAATTAAATTGATAAAATTCTAATTTCGGACACGTGTCTGATACTTTTTTGGTGACTTGTCCGACATTTCTTTAAAATTTGTCTACTATTAAATAATAAAAATGTGTTGACATGTGATTAACAAGCTGAAAAATTTGACTATTAAGTATCTTATACCATAAAGAATATATACTTCATTCGTTCCTAAATATATGTCGTTTAATGAAATCAAATCATAATTAATATTTTTTTTTCCAAATTTACCTTTAACTTTTCAATGCATTAGATTAGGTAGAGGTCAAGTACCTTTCATATTTCTTTCCTTCCCAATATGTATTGAATAAAAGTATTTTAGTCTTGTGTAATTATTTTTTACTCATATTAGAGTTATTTAATAGTTTCCTTAATTCTTGTGTAAAATTTTTAAACGACAGGTATTTGGAACGGAAAAAGTAATTACTAAGACTACATATGTTAAATTTGTACTCAAAATATAATAGCAAAAGCAAAAGAAACATAAAAGATTTAAAAAAAAATTAATTGAGATGAGAGTAATCATTTACATTATATAAGTATAGTACATGTCTATGAAAAAATTAATAATTATTGATTATTATGATCATTACCACTATATTTGTGATAAATTATATTATTTGATATTGAAAACACAATTATCTGTAACTTTTTCTCAATACATGTTCGCATCCTAATTTTTTTGAAAATGTCATATTTACGTATCTGTATCATATTATATTTGTATTTTGTACTTGTATCCCTATCCGTTATTTATAGCCGGCCAGTACATAGCATGCATTAAGACATTCAAAAATGGAAGGAGCACAATCATTTAAAGGCCACTATCTTCCAAAGGCTTTGTCCATTTTCCGGTTCTTGTGATGCAAGAGAACGATAGTGGTGCTCCAATTACAATAGAAAGTCTAGTTTGGTGTTTGGGGGGGGGGGGGGGGCC